CGGAAACTTTGTATAATTAGGTCACAGTTGGAGAGAGAGCATACATGTTCTGGGAAGTCCTCTTCTTGGTTCTGTTGGTTCTCACGTGTTAATTAAAAAGTTACATGCTACTTTACTCATGACTTTCTGTGGATACAGTGTCCTCAAAGATTCCCCAAAGAGCCGTCCGTGCGTACAGATTGCTGAAGACTGACACCCAGAGTTATATGGTGGTTTTTAAAAGAAAAAGAGTGCAAAACACTTTTATTTATTTATTTTTTTGTCAAAACTGAAGTCCAAGCCCCGAGTTTTTTCTGTCATCCCTGAAATTTGAAATGACTTTTTTCTAACAATAGGTGGCGCTTCAAGGAGTCTTTGTTCATTCCGGTGCTCTTCTCACTGAGCTTTGCTTTCAGTTTTCAAAACCAACACAAAAATTCATGATCCTAAAATACTTCAACAATTGATGGGCTGTACCTACTGCTAGCTCTGGTATTTGTTATGGAGGACCAAAATTATTGTAAAAGTCCACAACAAACTATGATAACAAGTAGAAGCAGCTTCAGGCTTTTCAAAAATATTTTTGTTTTCACTTTTAAAGTTCTTCAGTTTATTTTTTTAAAAATATTTATTTGCTTCTTAAACTCTTAATAATAGAAGAGTTTAATATTTTATAGTAAGGATTTAAATATTTCTAGTTTTCTATGTTTGTTTTCAAGACAGGGTTTCTCTGTGCAGCTTTGACTGGCCTGGAACTTGCTTTGTAGACCAGGCTGGTCTCAAACTCACAGAGATCCACCTGCCTCTGTCTTGAGAGTACTAGGATTAAAGGCGTGTGCCACCACTGCTTGGCTAAATTTTAAATCATATGTTTATGTGTATTTTTCTTTGTGGGTTTGTGTAGGTGCAGGTGCCCAGAGAGGCCAAAGGCTTCAGATCCCCTGAAGTTGGAGCTATATGTGGTTGTGAACCACTTAATATGGTTACTGGGAATCAAACCTGGGTCCTCTGGAAGAAGAGCAAGCGCTCTTAACCACTGGACTGTTTTCTCAGCCCTTGTGAAGACTTTTAACGTTTACAATGTTCATTGTCTTAACTGGAAATAAAAGTTAAATCACTAAAAGCCTCCAGATAAATGTTCAAGTTACGTGTCTTAACCTGAACTCAATGGACAGCTGTTTCAAAACCCCACTCAAGATACACGTGTGCATACGTGAACACACACATACATGTTCACATGCGGATATGGCAAAACAATCGGTCAAACCTAAAAGCCTTAGAACAAAAATGAAACCCGACTGACCTGAAAAACAGTTACAAGGCAAATTAAGCTGATTATTTAGGGACGAAAGTCCGTGAGTGGGAACCCTCTCATTTCTTCTTTATAAAATATGTTGCTACAACACCAACCAATTATTGATATAGATTTTTTCCCCAGCTCACAAAGCACTTGTACGTGTTTGACTCCATCCGGAGCATCAGGACATCAGAAGTTTAGTGTTTCTATCAGCACAGAAGAAACCAAAACTCACTTAGCTCTGTGCGACAGAGCTGGGACTTCTCCTGGCTGGGTCCTCCATCCAGCTTGCTTCAGGACACAGTGTTCTTCCGACCTGCCTGCTTGTGATACTGAACAGAGGGTACATGGGTAAACAGGACACCCTCGAGATGCGCGACCATGGAGCAGGACACAGTCAAAACTCCGACCTTTGTATGTGCTTGTATGTGATCACTCACCATAGAGCATCTGAGATTTTTGTTGGTGGTGGTGGGATTGCTTTCAATGCCCTGACAATTATGAAGTTAGGAAACTAAGTATACATTATTAATCTTCTTGTGACTTCTGCCTATATTGACCTACAATATGCTACTTTTTCCATAAATGAAGAACTGTGGCTTCTGACTATTATTTCATTCCATTAGGAAACAAACATTAAAGTAGACAAGCCCTAGGAGACATCTCAAGTCTTATTTGTTTTACTGAAAAGATAATTTGGTTTTCTGCTGTTCGGTCTTGAAGGAGACAGAGTTCCAGGTCTGATGCAGAGAAGGGTCTTCCGCCCATCTGTAACGACGAAGGTGGAAGGAAGCGCTCAGATTAGGAATCGCTGTTGCCCAGAACTGAAGAGACAAATTCATTTCTTTAAGGGATCTTCCGCTCCTCGTTCCAAGTTGGAAGAGCAGAAAAAATGACTTCTTGTGCTTTCTCAGGAAAATGAAAAGGGATCCAGGGCCAGGGAGCAGAATTTAGCGTGCTGTTGGCTAGGTTAAGAAGTGCCTGTTTAGTATTGAGGCAGAGCCGCTTCCTCGTGTGAACATACGGCTCTTGTGAGTGCACAGCCGTGCTGTTGGTGGGATTCACCTGCACCTAGGAAGGGAGACTCTGGCTCAGAACAACCACATCACTGGAGACCAGCAGTACACAGTAGGGCTGAGAGTCCAAACATTCAGCGTCATCTACTCAATGCAAGACTCCATCTCTCCCATCTGCAGAATTTAAGACCATGCAGAATATGCGAGGGTGGGAACTAGGCTTCTGAAAACGAGGGGAACGTTTATGGAAACCTTAGCGACTAGGTTAGTCTGTTTGTGTCTTCTACAAAGGCTGGTCACGAAAAGAAACTGAAAATACATGGCCCATCCTTGCAGGCGTCTCTGAAGATGCTCAGGAATACAGCGATTATTGCCCTAAAAGGAAAGGAGAGAAAATGCCCATTACTGGCTGCTTATCGATGAATTTGGGTCTGCTAATGCGTCAGCTTCTGTGATGTTTTGGTTTCCAGTTTGTTTCTCAACAGGATGCGAGGCTATGGGTGATAATGTAGTTAATTCCACCGCTAATAATGTAACTTATGACTAAATCCTCGGAAATGTAGAAGGTATTGCTTGTTAGCCTGGAAGCACACACACAATGGCTCTGATGTTTTTATTTGGGCAAATAAATAAATCAACAAGTCTTTGAGCACTTTAATTCCTTTTAAGTCACCAGCACTTCTGAAGCATCTGCCAGATGAGTTTGCCACTTTATTCTCTTTCAACAAAAGAGAAGGCTAATTGGGTTTCCCATGAAACTGAAGAACGAGTTGGGCCTCCCTTCCCACCCCACTCTCTTTAGACAGATCTTAGCATGGGGAACTAGAAATTCCTGCCATTTCCCCACCGACCCTTACATCCCCTCTCTTTCAAAAACGTTTCCTACACCGGCTGTTTATTGCTAGACTAAACTCACTGCAATGAAGTTTACTAAATAAGAAGTAAGGTCTGTTTCTCACTAAAAACTGATAATTTCTCTCAAATCTTATGACTGCAGGAAATAAAAAGGTGAAGCACACTTCATTAAATGTCTTCCAGATTCAAGGCGGCAAGTCTACCCCGATCCTAACTAGGAATGTGACATCTAAGAAAACATAGAGGATACATAGAAGCAGAGCCAATTTTGCACAATATATTCAACTTTGAAATAGAACATGACATATGATGGTAATATTTTTGACAAAATTTCATGAATCATTATTATTGTTATTTTAAAACACAATATTTGTTTTAGCACATCTCTGACTGAAATACTTTGAAGTGCATTTTAGCAGGAATCTTCGAAATTATATTTTTATAAGCATTGTGTAATGAAAACTGTGCATTGCTCCCTGTTCACGTTTTATCACTTTGGCGAACTGACCTCTGCCCCAGATTTGTGCAGACGACCAGGAAGAACCCAGGTCCAACACTCTGGGATGAGGCTGTAGTTCTGATTTGACCCTTCCAATCCAGAAAGAAACAGAGCCACTGCTGTCAGAGCTCATTGCAGTGTTGCATCTGTGGGGACAGACAAGACCCCAGGGCCCCATCAACTTTACACTTGAAAATGCGACTTTAGCACAGTCCCTAGCGTGAAGGGTGAGCAGACAGTCTCTTGGCTTCTAGCATATCCTGTCATGCTCTGGTGGACCTGCTGATTGTTGATGTTCTCTGCAGGGGAATATCCTGGATTTCTGGCACACAACTCTACAGACGACTGAATTCGAAAAGCTCAAAAGTGAAGTACACAAACAAAAACAAGAAAATCGTTTTTAAAACCTGCTGCTTTTGTTAAGGCTTTAAAAAAATTACTTGGAGCCCAAAATATCCAAACTCACATTGGCGGATGATTTAGACCCTAGAGATCTGTTGTTTACCAAATACTATTCCTGATACAGTTGCCTGGGAAAGTATTTCCTATTAACAATTTTTGGGGTCTTAGGTTATTTTTAAAAACCCTCTGTGGAATTTTAGTTCCGCATACCGTTCTTTTCTCTGTATTCTGAGCTACATTGTTCTGAGAATAAATGTCCTAAATCCCACAGTTTGTGAAGAAGCAAAAAGCATTCCCCACTTACTGGAGTTCCCCCAACCCTGCGGCAGACATGCGATTAAAACTTAAACTTCTGACGAGTTACGCTTATTTTACTTGATTTTTAGTTAATTAAAATAAGTTGGTGTTTTTGACAAAATTATCCAAACATTACAAAACAGGAAGGATGTGGGATTTCTTTTATCCGTGTAATTTTTGGGATCATATCACGAACAGAAACAGAGCCATCACTAAAATCCCCCAGCAGGAACTCCCACCCTGTGGTGTGCCATTATATTACATTTGCAAAAGTGAATGTCCTTTCTGGAACTTTCATATTTCACATGCTCTGAACTTCGCTATTATCATTTTTCTGTATAAGCACACATTTCCCCTCTACCTGGGGCATGGTGGAGTGGTGTACAAGACTATTTTGTTTTGTTGTTGGTGTTTTTTAATGTTCTTCATAACTCTTTTCTAACTCATTTTTTTTTTTTAAGGGTGAATCCACTGATTCCCTCAAATTGGAGGCTGACAGCTCACAGACTAACAGGGACGCTGGAACTTGTGTTCCTGCCTATAGTTGCGCTCGCTGGCAACTTTTTCAGAGTCCACATCCACCGTCGCTCAATTCCTGCTCCGGGTTTTCGCACAGCCCGCGTGATTGACACATGATATCACCGGAGGCGGGTCCCAGCGTGGAGGTGGAGGTGGCGGCGACGCTGAAATGCTGCGGAGCCCGCGCGCGAGTGCTCAGCACGCAGGAGTTTGCGGCGGACCCGCAGCCAGAGCTCTGCGGAGTAAGGAGCGTCTGCGGGCGGCGTGCATGTGCCGGGAAGGCCGGCCCCGGGCTCTGCGCTAGGCGAGAGCCTTGCCCTCCCGCCGAGGACCTGGCGAGGTCAGGTAAGAATGGTGCTTTTATTTTTTAATTTTTATTTTTTTATTTTCAAGGAACTGGACGTTTTCGGAGCTGGCCGTAGCTCGGTGCCCGGCGCTCTGCGGTCGGCCCCGCAGCTGGAGAGCTGGCTCCTTTCGCTTTCCCGTAGCCGGGCAGCGAGTTCCGCGGGTGCGGACGCGGGCTGGCATCGCCGCGCACCCGCGTGTCTGTGCGCATTGTTGGCGACCAACCCGCCGGGCGCTCGTGCCAGACCTGACTTTGCCGTCCCGAGTGCGGGCTTGCCTCGAGCAGACGCGCGGCTCGGACGCGCTTTGGGCTGCTGGGCATTCCGTGGGGGCAAAACGTGCACGGCCGCGTGTGTGTCCCGGGCTCGTGACTGTCCATCACCGCGAGTAGGACAGCGTCCCGGACTGGCAAGGGACTCACGTGTTTCTGTCTCTGCTCGTCTGCAGCCGGCGTGGCGACTGCGGGGACGCAGACCTGCGGGGACCCGAGAGCCCGGGACGACGCCGGGCCGCGCGCC